AGACACAACACATTTACAGATATTTGCACATTTTGAAGTGTGTATATAGTTTTCTGGCAGGGTTGTGCTCCTAAAATTGATTTAGAAAAAACATATGATATGCACAGACTACTAGACTAAATAGTCTCCTCTATGAAGTTCTGGCCAGTGTTATTTTTGAGTTCCTCTCCCTTCCTCAAGCAAGCAGCATTTTCTGCCAGCACCAGGAATAGAAGGCTTTAATATTATTTCTATATAAATACCTTGTGTTTCCTGTACTTTAAAATAAATCAATCAGTAAGTCTAGAATATAGGTTACTTTGCATTATTTAAAACAATAAGATTTTAAAAGCAGCACATGACTAAATGTAAGTTGGGTTTGCTATAATTTAGGCAAAAAAAAAAAAAACCAAAAAACTGTAAGGTGCATGTCTCTCTCTCTCTCTCTCTCTCTCTCTCTCTCTCTCTCTCTCCCAAAATCTATAAGGTGCATCTCTCTCTCTCTCTCTCTCTCTCTCTCTCTCTCTCTCTCTCTGTGTGTGTGTGTGTCTGTGTGTGTGTGTGTTAAACCACAAGTGCTGTTCTTCATGTTTTGGTCATTGCTAAATAGAAACTAAATTTTATTTTAGATGAAGTTTTTTAATATAACCTGTAGGCATTAGTATCTGAAACAATTAAATACTGTTTTTTGCCTTTAACAAAATGAAGTAGTTGACATCTAGGCTTGTAAGTCAGGCCAGCCCCCTAAAGTCTGGAAAGGAATGAAGACACCAAGCCTGAATGGATATGAACAAATATTCTAATATCTAAATAAATGTATGTTGCATAAAACTGAAGACGTAATATGAATTAGAAAGAATTACACTAATAAATTCCAGGACAACTGTCCTGAAGTGGGAAGAAGTCTTAAAATGGATAATATTATTAAAGCTGACATTTCCCAATTACTACAGTTCAGTTTCATTTACTAGATTTCTTCAAGCCATTAGATGGAGGTTTGTTAAATAATTAAATGCAATTGCTCACTTCATCATCAAACATAGCAAGAAAAATATACATAATGATTAGAATAACCAGGAAAGAAAGAGAATGGTTATGTTTGGGTGATATTTTGCTTTCAGATAATGGTGGGTGGCTCACTGATACGTATACATTATTTAAAGGTGAGAAAATGCAGAAAATTCATTTCATTGAAATATCTGGTGGTGAGTTGGAGGTTCATGAGTTATACCAATATTATTTGGCATGAAAGTACCCCCCTTTTTACATTCATTTTAGTCCCCTGTGAAGGAAAGAAGATTTTCCTCTAGCTTAAGAAAATAATAATTAGAGGCGAGCATAGTTCTACACACTTGAAATCCCAGTGTGCCAGAGGGAAGGCAGGGGGATTGCACATTTGAAGACAGGCTGGGCTTCACACAGAGCAAAAGAAAGTGGCAGAAACGCTATAGTGTAAGTGGGAGGGAGATGGTGAATAAATTGTAATGGTCTAAATAATTGTTAAAAATATTTCACTATTTTAAAGGGACTTCATCATGCTCTTATGTAAGTAACAAGGGTGAGAACATAGTCCCACAGCTAAAAATAAAACAAGGAAATTATTGTGACTTATATCAACAAAGAAGATAAAAGCTCACATTTTCTGATGAAGATCAAGGGCCTTTAGATAGGAGTGCAAAGAAAAAAACAGAAAATCAAGAAAAAAATGTTGTGAAATATAGATGACATGTTAGATTTTTAATATGTAAAATGATACTAATCCTCTTTTAGAATAGCCAACTTTGATTTGTTTACCTATCCCATCTCCCCACCAAAAATCAAATCAAAGCCTATCTGTGTGTCATCAAATTAACTTAAGAATAAATTATCAAACAATGGGGATGATGGTATTATTTACATCCTTTAGCAAAAATTGTTCTGGAGGAGGAAGATTTATTTGTGGGTAATGTTCCCAAAATTGCTTGCCTGTTCTGCTGAAATTTTACCTTCATGTATCACTAAAAAAAAAAAAATTCATAGATCATCATGGACAAATAGGATGAAATTCCAGTTAAAATGAATTTATATAGTTTTCAAATACTGCAGGAACGTATAATTCAAAACAAAAAATAATACTTCTTATCTTAAAATTAACTTGTGAGTTTGTCTATGAAATTGGGTTCAAGTTAGGGAATTAATGATGTTCAAATAGGTAACTTTGGGATATAACTTAGGTTTTAGATATATCTTAAAATAGACAGTAAAACTTTATTATAGTAGATGTAGTGGCATATATGAAACATCATGCTTTAAAGAGATGGACATATTTCTTACATAGAAGGAACAGTGCCTATTTAGACCTGCATTACAACTTGGTGTACATTTCTAGTTAGTGAAGCTCACTATTTGAAATAGTGAACAAATATATATATAAATGCTACATCACTGCCAAGGTGGGGACCTTGGTAATGTAGAAAGATCATGGGCCCATTAAAGATGGCCCTCATCTATTGGGGTACTGGAGTTCAGAATCACACGCTTCTGTCTTACTCTCTAGAGACCATGTTGGCGTTTTCTGAGAATGGCATGCCCTTGTGATGACTTGAAATTTGTGATAACCATGATCTCTCCCTGCCCTACAAGGGGAAGATGGACCAACAGAACCAGATAAATGATACTTGTAAACATTAGCCCTTAATTCAGACAGTGTGTTAGATCTGACTTCATTTATAGACACTGTAGCACTTAACTTTTCCTCAAATTTTTAATTGGTAATTTGCATATAGTCAGAACATTAGTCACTTGACGTCCTGGAAGCTGGTTAACAGAGAAAGTGAGCTGCATGATGACCCCCAGACAAGAAACTGGATAGTGCCACAAACCCCATATTTTGTTTCCAAAAGCCTTATGTAAGGATTAATGCTAATAACTGCCAATGCGTGCATATGTTTTCATTTTATGGAAAACACTGAAGGGGATTTATTCACAGTCCTCTCTGGACAATCACAAGTGTACAAAAAGGATAAAGCTGCGCCATTCGCCTTTTCTACTTGATGGCGACTCAGTGCCATGTTCTCTTTGTGGATGCTATCTCACTTTCTGCAGCTCCTGTCTCAGCCAGGAGGGCAGAGGCTGACCCAGCCTGTGCAGCAGCTTCGAGAGCTCCACGTTGTGGTCCCGGTAGTAATTGGAGAGGAAGGTTCTGGACTGGAAACAAAAGGAAGATTTGAAGGACACTCTTAGCTCATCAAGTATCTACACATGTGTCTACCAACTGTTCGTTTACTATTTTTTCCTAAGTCGCTCATTTTACATTTTTAGAAATTCTGACTAAATCATGGATGTAAAGCAAAGAAGTGCACATGTGTCCTGGGAGAGTCAACTACCATTATAGCACTTACACATTTGGACACGTACAGAGAGGAAACTGAAGTGTAATACCAGAGAATGGGGAGATGTTAATGCACAACCAAATGCATAAGAATGAGGAAGATGCAAATATGTAAATTTCCTTTGAAAATTATTCCTATACTAAGCATTTAAAAACGTATCTGTCTATAATGAGTAAAATTACTGATTATAAAAATAACTGGCTATGTTATATATTTGAAAATTTTATTCAGGATTTCTCTCTTTATAAAATATCATATATAATAAGCCCTGAAAAGCTAGGCTTCTTTGTAACTCTCTTAAATGCCTCATCAACCTGAAGAGATTGGTCTTTTTAAGAGATAAACATTTTTTTTAAGTTCTAACATGTTTTTCAAGATTACTTCTATTTATATGCATAAGTGTGTAAGTGTGTGTTTCTGTATATATTCTCATGTCTGGGGAGGCAAGGTGAGGACACTGGATAGGTTGGGGCTATGCTAGATTTGCTGCTATGCTCTTATCTGATGAGCTATCATTGCAGATCCCAGATAAATGAGTGAATACACACACACACACACACACACACACACACACACACACACTTCCAGAAAACAGAAAATTGTTAACTTGCTTTTTTTCCCACCAAATTCTTCATACAACAACTAAGTAAACTTATTTTGTTCTATTTAATTTTCTGTTTCCCATGAAATTGATCAATACTTTAATTTGCAAATATTCATAGTGATCAAACAAAATTTTTACTGCATAAAAATGCTACCATCTCTCCTAAGCTCTTCTCAACATTTAAACACAAATGAATGTCTTTCTTCATAAAATTCCCCTAGCAACTTTTGTGTATACTGTGGAAATGGATTTAGGACAATTACATTTCATCTTGGACCGTTTGCCAAGCATTTCATTATGTTTCTTCCCTTAAAGCAGATGGTAAGCCCTTCAAATGGGGAATAAGATGTTTACAGTAGTGGGAATGCTACATTGATGTTTTGGGCAGATTAAAGTGATTTCTGAAACCCTTTAGAAATTACTGAGTTCAAAAGTATATTAAGGACTTTCTGGCACTTATATCACCATAGCAACACATGAAGAATGCATCCTGCCCTTGCCCACCTTGCCTTAGGAGAAATGCTCACAATCTCTGGCTGGCTTCCAGCCACCATCTCTAATACGATGCATCTTTCCACATATTACGATTTCTATTATATTTTTTTTGTCTTTTTTAGTTTAATTTATTACTTTGTGCCTCCTGTTATAATCCTATGGCCCTAACTAAATTATTCACCCTATAATGAATTTCAGTAGCCATTTTATCCTTATATCTTCTGCATAGCTTAGTTGAATGTCAGGCATGTTTTTGGCATCAGATATAGGTATGCTGGTTAGTTTTTATCAACTTGCCCAAACCAGAGATATCTCAAAAAGCAAGAACTTCAAATGAGACATTGGCTGCATCCAGTTGGCCTGTGGGCATATCTGTAGGGCATTCCTTGGCTTTTAATTGATGCAGGAAGGCCCAGACCACTGTGCGAAGTGCCAAGCCTGGGCAGGATGGCCAGGACTGTAGAAGAATGGTAGCTGATCAAGCCAAGGGAAGCAAGCCAATAAACAACATTCCTCCATGGTCTCTGCTTCAACTTTTGCCTCCAGGTTCCTACCTTGGCTTTCTTTAGTGTTGGAGTTTGACCTGGAAGTTATAAACTGAAAGAAACCTTCTCTTCCTCAAAGTTGATTTTTAGTTGTGATGCTTATCACAGAAATATAAAGCAAACTAGAACAGTATATTTTCAGTATATATACTGAGTATATTTTCAGTACTTGTAGTTTTTTATACCATTGTTTACCAAACAATTATTTTTAAGTGACTTACAATGTGGAAAGGAGTTACTTTTTAGTATATAATTATGTGTGAGTTGAATTACAACAGGAAGAAAGTTCTAATGACATATATCAGGTATATCAGTTCTTTTGCTCTCTAACATCTTTCAAGTATATAAAACTATTTATTGCAAGGAAATATCAGCAAAAAGAATCAGATTTCTCTTCCTAGTTTTCAAACAGCAATGTCTTTTTTCCAGAGTAATTCAAATTAAGCAAACATTACCTCTGGATCCATGGGTGGGTATTTTCGGCCTTTGCTCTTCCCAAGGCATTTGGTCTTTCCTCCTTCAAGTAGCTGACACCAAAAGCCCTTTTGGGGATCAAACCTAAAAAATACAGTATATAATAATTATAAATCATAAGAGCCTTCCTGGTAAGATAAAAGAGGTACACTTTTGTACACCTGCTGCTTTAATTTAATTAATTTCTACAGGTGTTCAGCTGATTTAGGAAATGAAAATAGATATTAAAATTTCTATATTTTACTATATATTTTCAAGTAGTTCTACTGTGTGGGAAAAGGTACACAGACCTGTTTAAGGAAAACTCTTTCTGCCAGTGCCTGAGCCCCACTGCCACGCTAGGGCCCCCAGACCACACACAGAGTCTTATGTTAGTTACAATGATGCTGGCCAATGATTAGGATATCTAATTTGCTAGCTTTGTCCTAAGTATCAACCATAACCATTAATCTATGTATTTTATAAAGACTTATCTTCTCCAGGATGCCAGCAGTATGAGTCCTCTCTTCACGGGATCACATGTCGACTCCTATACTACATTTCCCAGAATCCTCCTCAACTCCTAGCCCCACCTATCTTGCTTTCCTATTGGCCAACAGTGCTTTATTTATCAACCAATAAGACCAAACATATACACAGAAGGACTTCCCCATCAGACCTGCAGTACAATTTTCTATTGAAATTGTTGTGGTCTATATTTTAGTTATGAATCTGAAATAAAGCAAAGGATTAAACATTAAAACTACAGCCTACATATAAAAGGCCTTTGGATATTTTGTTTCGGATGACTGTGATTTTCATGTCAAAATATATTAAAAGATTTCTCTGAAATCATTTAATGGGTTTCATTAATGGGACTGAATTCCATATAAGTATACAACTCTGAGTATAGGTATAATTAAGCCTTTCAATTTGAAAACATACTGTATTATTTTCTATAGTTACTTTTTAAAAATATTCAAAAAGTAAATAAAATGTCATAGAATAGTATTAATCTACTTCTTATGCTCCTTTTCATTTAATCCTTCAAATGAACTTGGAGTTTGTTTTTCATAATTTAAAAAAAAAGTTAAAATATTCAACAATTTCATAAATAATGAATAAACTTGTCCTACATGAAATAGCTTTCTTTAAATGGATTCTTGTGTCTTTTATTGTTTTTTAAATGTGTAAAGACATAACTCATTACAATATCTTAAGATCTGAGACATAGGTACTGCAGCTGGTGAGTCAAACATAGCCATCCTCTTGCCTGTTGCTGAAGGCAGATGATTCTTTGAGTGAATCTCATAGCTGTCATTCTGTACTTAGAGGATTCTCCATGTCACATGCTATGCAGCACATGAATATCTAACCATCAGATTGGCAGATACCACTTTTAAGTCTGTATAGATCTGACAACTTGGTCTCAAACCCAACTTCTGCTTGCCCACTCTGGGATCTCCTCGCCTGGGGACTGCAGGCAGCTTGACTCATCCCCAGCAGACCAAGCAACCACAAGTCTGCTGACATCGCTGTACTAGTGCAGCTCCCACCTACCAGGAGAGGGAATGCCTCGGACCTGCCCTGCACCCAACGTGAGACTCAGCAGGGTATTGAACCTGATTGCACCCACCGGAAGAGAACCTTGGACTCTTACCCACCAGGAGAGGAAGAGACCCCACCTACACCCACTGGAAAAAGGGATGGGAAGACAACAATATAAGAACACATTCAACAACAGAAAAAACAATATGACACCACTAGAGTCTAGGGACTCTAAACCAGCAAGACCTGAACATACCAACACAGAAGAAGCAGAAGAGAATGACCTTAAAAACAACTTCATGAAAATGATAGAGACCCTAAAAGAGGAAATGAGAAAATCCTTTAAACAAATGGAAGAAAAGACAAACCAAAAATAGCAAGAAACAATTCAAACAGAGAAAGGATTGAAAGCTGAAATAGAGACAATTAAAAAAACACAGTCTGAGGCAGTGCTGGAATTAGAAAAGATGGGTAAAAGATCAGGAACTACAGATGCAAGCATAACCAACAGAATACAAGAGATGGAAGAGAGAATCTCAGGTATTGAAGATACACTAGGAGAAACAGATTCATTGACAAAAGAATATCTTAAGCCCAACAAAGCCCTAATACAAAATATTCAGGAAATATGGGATACTGTGAAAAGGCCAACACTAAGAATAATAGGAAAAGAAGAAGAAGAAGAAGAAGAAGAAGAAGAAGAAGAAGAAGAAGAAGAAGAAGAAGAAGAAGAAGAAGAAGAAGATCAACTCAAAGGTACAGAAAATATATGCAATAAAATCATAGAAAGAAATTTCCAACCTAAAGAAAGACATACCAATGAAACTAGTAGCCTACAAAATACCAAATAGAGTGGACCACAAAAAAGACCCCCTCGTCACATAATAATCAAAACACAAAACATACAGACTAAAGAAAGAAGGTCAGGCATTGGTGGCCCATGCCTTTAATCCCAGCACTACTGAGGCAGAGGCAGGGGGGACTCTGTGAGTTCAAGACCAGCCTGGTCTACAAGAGCTAGTACCAGGACAGCCTCCAAAGCCACAGAGAAACCCTGTCTCGAAAACAACAACAACAACAACAACAACAAAATAAAAACAGAATAAAGAAATAATATTAAGAGCAGCAGAGGAAAAAGGCCAAGTAACATATAAAGGCAAATCTATTAGAATTACACCTGACTTCTTCATAGAAACTCTGAAAGCTAGAAGATCCTGGATAGATATTCTACAAAAAGTAAGATACTAGCCCATGGATGCTAGCCCAGACTACTATACCCAGCAGTGCTTTCAATCACTATAGATGGAGAAAACAAAATATTCATGACAAAACTAGATTTATACATTACATATCCACTAATAGAGCCCTAAAGAAAGTACTAGAAGGGAAATTCCAACCTAAGAAAGTTAACTACACTCACAAAAACATAGGCAATGTGTAATCCCACTTTACCAAAAGCCAAAAGAAAAAGTGGGGTAAATCCACACACGATATCACCACCACCACCAAATCCATAACAAACAAGAATTAACACTCAATGGTCCTTAATTACCCTCAGTATTTAATGGTCTTAACTTGCCTATACAAAGACACAGGCTATCAGAATGGATACAAAGACAGAATCCATCCTTCTGCTGCATACAAGAAAAACACCTCAACTTCAAAGGCAAATATTACCTGGGAGTAAATGGTCAGGATAAGGTTTTCCAATCATATGGACCCAAGAAACAAGCTTGTGTAGCTATCCTAATATCTAACAAAATAGGCTTCAAACTAAAATCAATCAAAAGAGATGAAGAAGATCATTTCATATTCATCACAGGAAAAATCCATCAGGAATAGTCTCACTTCCGAAAATATATGCCCCAAATACAAAAGCACCCAAATTCCTAAAGGAAGCATTACTAAGACTCAAATCACACACAAGACCTCATACAGTAACAGTGGAAGATTTCAACACCCCACTCTCACCACTAGACAGGAACACCAGACAGTAACTAAATTAAGAAATAAAGGAACAAACAGAAGTTATGACCCAATTGGGTTTAACACATGTATAGAACATTCCATCCAAACACAAAAGTATATACCTTCTTCTCAGCACCACATGGAACCTACTCTAAAGTCTACCACATACATGGCAACATAGCAAACCTCAAGAGGTACAAAAAAAATCGGAATAACCCCCCTGTATCTTATCAGACCATCATGTTTTAAAGTTAGAATCAAACAACAACACAAACTGCAGAAACCCTACAAACTCATTAAATAAATAAATAAATTTAAAACTTCCTAGAATTCAATGAAAATGAAGACACAACATACCCATCAAGAGGTACAAAAAAAATCGGAATAACCCCCCTGTATCTTATCAGACCATCATGTTTTAAAGTTAGAATCAAACAACAACACAAACTGCAGAAACCCTACAAACTCATGGAAATTGAACAACACACAATTGCACCATTCCTGGCTTAAATAAATAAATAAATAAATAAAGAAAGAAAGAAAGAAAGAAATTTAAAACTTCCTAGAATTCAATGAAAATGAAGACACAACATACCCAAACTTATGGGATACTTTGAAAGCAGTACTATGAGGAAAGTGACCACATGAAGAAACTGGAGAATAGTCACACTAGAGAATTAACAGCACAACTGAAAGCTCTAGAACAAAGAGAAGCAAACTGACTGCAGATGAGTAGATGCAAGGAAATAAACTGATGGCTGAAATCAATAAATTAGAAACAAAGAAAACAATACAAAGAATCAATGGAACAAAGAGTCGGTTCTTTGAGAAAATCAGCAAGATAGACAAAACTTTATCCAATCTAAACACACGGCAAAGAGAGAAAATGCAAATTAACAAAATCAGACTTGAAAAGGGGGACATAACAATGGACAATGAGGAAAGACATATAATCTTCAGATCATAATTTGAAATCCTGTACTCTACACAATTTGAAAATGTAAAATAAATGGACAATTTTCTGGATAGATATCACTTAGCAAAATCAAATCAAGAACTGATAAGCAATTTAAACACTATAATCCCTAATGAAACAGAGCAGTCATCAAAGTCTCCCAACCAAAAAAAAAAAAAAAAAAAAAAAAAAAGCCCAGCGCCAGATGGCTTCAGTGAAGAATTACCCCAGAAGTTCAAAGAAGAGCTAATGCCAATTCTCCTCAAATTGTTCCACATAATAGAAGGAGAAAGTTCATTGCAAAACTTTTTAAGAGGCTGCAATTACCTTGGGACCCAAGCCACACAAAGACACAACTAAGAAAGAGAACTACAGACTAATATCCCTCATGAATATTGATGCAAAAATACGCAATAAAATACTGGCAAATCGAATCCAAGAACACATCAGAGAAATCACTGTTCATGATCAAGTAGGCTTCAACCCTGGAATGCAGGGATGGTTCAACATATGAAAATTTATCAATGTAATCTACCTTATATGCCATCCTAGAGCCTTTATCCAGAAGCTGATGGAAATAGAAACAGATACCCAGAGCTAAACACTGAACTGAACTAAACTGGAATCCAGTTGC